CCCCAGATATGTACAAATTGCAAACAAATCATTATCAACCCTTTCTACGGCCCCAGTAAGAAGATGACCAATGACATCTGCCCCTAAAAGTAAAGCTATGTCTGAGAAACTCGGTTCTAAGTCAGAAATAATGATATTTTTTCTTTTTAGGTATTCTATGCAACGTGTATTTTTTAACTTCGGTAAATAATTGCATATCTTAGGCTGTTCTAAGGCCGAAACATTTATTTCAAAAGAATTATCTAAACTTTGGACTAAAACGTCATACAGGTTATGAACTTTTGGCATGGATTCTGCTCCTCTGAAAACACCCTGTATAAATACTTCATCTCCAATTTTCTGTAAATTCATTTCTTTAACATAACTTGACGAAATATATGATTTTTGAGATGCACTGTCCAGTAAGGCTCTAACTATTTTAGATTCTTTCCCTTGAATAATTCGAACAAGAATTGTTTGTAGTAAGGTTTCTGTGCCACTATTTACGCTAGTAAGAATTACTTCATTACTGTTATTTTTATTATGAATCGTGCTCTCTGTAATTTCCTTTTGAGAAACCTTCTTAGAATCTAATTCTGGACACAAAATTGGATAATGTTTTTTGGAACATATTAAACATCTTATGAACATTTTACACTTTTTAATGTTGTGATATGGTTTCAAACAAGCAAAACATCCATTTCTTTTTATTACTATTTCCTTTCTCTCATCAAAGGGTAATTTTTGTGCCTTTAAGCAATCTTGGCTTAAATGTGATTTTTCACAGAATATACAATTTGAATTTGGCTTACCTTTCCCTTTCTTAGTGTCACTAAATAGAGTAGCTGCAGTGTTTTGTTCTTGTTCATTTAACCTTGACTTAAACTTACTTGTGCCATGTAGTTTTACTGTTTCTTTCGTCGATGTGAAGCTGGTACGGGCTAACTGCACCCTACTTTCACTTGCCACTTCATCTGTAAGGAAATCTAACAACAAATTCAAATAATTATTAGAATCTATCTTATTATTCTTCTCTAAATCTCTTCTTAACGAAGTTCTGTGTCTTTCCCAAGCTTGAAGGATATTCTCTGGCAAGGCCGACTCGACTAATGGATAAAGCATAGCTGCGTACTTATCTGTTGTAACACCTAATGTCTCTAATGAACGTAACTGAGTTTCGAGTGTATCGTATAAGCTAGATAATGACATACCTGCATCATTTTTCATAGTTTGTTGTAAAACTAGACTAAGGAGTTCTCTTACGTACACTTCAATCAGCAACTCGTCCCTAGCAAACCTATTCTTCAACTGTTCTAATGCCTTTTTATAATTTTCTCCACATGGAGGGAAACTTTCAACAAGTCGTCGTGCTGCAGACCCAGGAAGAGTAGCTTGAACTAAATAGAGTATCTTATCTTCAGTTGGAATTTCATTATCTTCATGAATATTTTTGAACTGACCCCAAAAGCCAATCCAATTTTTTACTTCACCGTCGAATCTTGTGAATTCAAGTTTTGGTAGACGAAAATTTCTGTTTTTGTTTATTTCAACTCCACCTGACGAGTTTACGCTGCTTGCTTCTTTCTGCTTCTGATTTGAGTTGAGATAACTGACCTCTGTTCGGTACTTTGTAAATTCGTCTCTGTATAGCTCAACGGATGTCCATTCTTCTTGGTAGTCTTCATCGTTCATATCACTGCACAGTATTGATTCTCGTATATTCTCGTCCAATATGAAAAGTCTTTCGCTCTTATCTTCTACCTGATTCATTTTAACTGCAATGTCTTTCTTATTGATTGTAAATTCCTTCAAAAGACGGTCAATATCGCTACAAAGTCTTTTGAAGGCAGATCGTAACGTCCTTTCTCTCCGGAGTCCTGTCACGGTCGCCATAATATAATTAATTGGAGGTTTATGGAAGAAAGGATTTATTAATCGAAAATATAAAATATATTAACTCTGACAATACAAAATATATGTCTGACAATTCTATAAAAATTGATGTCACGCCTATCCAAAATAAATATGAGGGTAACTCAAAAATTATAAAATACAAGGTAAGTTCAACTTATTTACAACAACTATTATTATTTTCCATGACGCTCCGCGGCAACTTACAGATGTCATTGAAACTATAAATGAGAACACTACGGAAGAACCCCACCCATAAGAATAAAACCTAAGAAAGAAATACAATTCAAGTTTTGTTGTTTGAAGTTTAAAAGTCAGAATAGTTTGAATGCTTCATTATTTTGTCGATTTTCCGAAGATTTCCGAAGTCAAAACAGATCGAGTAATAGAATCGCTTTTTTTAATTCGATCGAATTATGTGTCGAGTTACTCAGATTTACTCGACACAAAACAGAATGTCACGACTTTTAACGTCAAACGAAAAAAATTAAATTGTAATTATTTATTAGTTTTTATGCTTATGGGTGGGGTTTTTCCGGGGTATCCTCATCTATAATTCAAATGACATCTGTAAGTTGCCTCAGAGAGCCATGGAAAATAATAATAGTCATCCCTCACCGGGCACAAACAACTCTGCATTCAAAGTTGCAAGGATCACTCATAATGGGTTAAATTATAAAAATATTATTATTTATTATTATTAGGCTAAAGAAAGGATGAGTTATAAAAAAGAAACGATCCTTTTGAACTTCCAGAAAATCGTCGTGAAGAACTTTTTCAGCAGAATAAAGAGAACCTATATGTTTATATTTTGTATCATTTTGTATAATAAATAATCCTTATATTGATATTCTAAGGATATAAAAGACCTCTGTTGCATGATAGGTTATCCAGAAAAGGCATTGCCAGAGACATATGTATGACCTGGAAATTAAATTCCTTTCTTTCCTAAACATTTTAAGCCACAGGTTTATTATTTAACCTCATTGACAGGTCATACCTAATGTCAGAATAATCCAACTTTAACGATTTGATATCGAATTGACTGCTCGTTAAACGGAATTGCTTTTATGGCGTTTGATATCAAATTCGAGTCGAATCGTGAAACGGAATCCCACCCCAGTGTCACAGAAGTATTACTTATGTGCCTGTGTTGCCAAATATTTTTTTTGAGAGATCGTACAAGTAGAGTAGAAAAATGATATTTCGACAACAAAATTGTACAATAGGTACATGTATAGCATAATATAACTTAAATGGAATGAAAAAATAAAAAAAAAACTTTGGCATGATAATTTATCTATTTATAAAAAAAAACTAACGAACATAAATGAAATTTTAAATTAACACATTTAAAGTAATCAATGACTGTAACTTGAAAGTAACTGAAATTTTGCATGGAAGCTTTTCTTATGCCGTGATAGTCGGTGTTGGTGCAAAATCACCATGATCAAATTGAGAACGAAAATGACTACCTTTAGAAATTAGGAACGGCCTGTGAATCTTTGCAAGTCGTTTTTTATTGTTTTATGTTCTAAAGTTGTTGCAGATATTTAAATAAACCTACTAAAAAAGTAAAGATCGTATTTTTAAGTACGATTCACTGATGCAATCGTATAAATACGATTTAAATCGTACGGTTGGCAACACTGATGGCAGACAGTAGACGTGGACAGCAGTGGACAGTTTGTAAACATAAATGTTATATATATAAAACTGATATATATCGAAGAATCCTGAATTTAAATTTTGAGTTCATGATTGTGTTATCCTCTAGATGAACTAAGCGAAATGGTTGTGGCTGTTTTTGTGTGAAATTTGAGGACAATAATTATATTTTGTAATATTACAAGTCGGAGAACGTATTGCATTAATATCACATGTCACACGAATAAATTTAACAACCCCAATGTGGCGTTCTTTAATTAACAAAGTAAGATCGAGTCATGTAAGTAACAAATAGTAACTAAATTTTGTCACAAAGTAGGTGTTTATGTATTGTTTATTGTTTTAGAAAAAGAAAATTGCTTCAAAACGTTAGAAAGAAAATTTGATAAGAAAAATATCGGAATTCCGAATATTGAGTTTGCACTCGACATTTTTAAATAAGACAAACAAAAATATGTTACAAATAGCGATCAAAAATAAAACAATATTTGTCTTAAATAGATTTACAATAATTAATCGATAATAGACTAAGTGTAATATTCTTTTTAATAAATAATTTAGCGTAATTACATTGTTTAAATCTCAGAGTAAGTAAGTAGTAAAGAGAGGACAGTAAAAAATGTTTGTGTCGCCATGATAATATGGTCGAGAATTCTAATTAGAGAGAAATAGATTAATATCTCTTTGTTTGTATTTGTCAGTTTTACAAAGATTTTCTCAGACAATTATTCCAGTGTTTAACTTAAATTTGTTCGTGTTGTGGTGTTAAAAGTAATTGTTATTAATATTATATTCATAACAAAAAAGTCATATTTTGTTTTCACTTCATTAAAAATGCACCTACCTACCTTTTAAAACATTTTATTTTATATTCTATTTGGTCAACATTTTCGCATTTAAAATGACCCAGCGAAATTGTTTTACGGTACGCTACTAATTCTAAAACGAGTGAGAAAGCCTTCATTAGAAAGAGAGATACTGATTATATGATAGCGAGATTAATATTGTATAACTTTATGCAGTGGTGGCCTATCTGCTATTATATTATCTAAGGTTTAAATTTATTTACAAGAACATGAGAGTGCAGTCGATATTTATCAGGATTTTAATTTTCCCGCTGCGTTGATATCGATGAAAGTGCCACCATAGTGAGTCAGATGTTAACTGCGTTAAAGCTGGTCGTTGTTAAGCATTGGCTTCTTATGAGCGTTTCCTAACTTTATCGCGCTTATCTCTGGTTTGTGTTTAATTCCCAATAGTCCGGTTCTGGCGGATTGGCCATATTGAGTCATGGAGGTATTATTGCCTCATTGTATTGAGACTTCATAAGCCCCGGCCAGTAATACCGTTCTTAATGTTTAAAAAAGATACTTATTATAGCGTCTCCCTCCCTACCTTCTAACCCCATGATTGAATTTTATACATTATTTTTTTCTTTTTAGATGGCAAATGAAAACAACTGCAATGGACATTTCACAGAAGATGACGAAATGTCATCGTACAAAAAAGATTCTAATTTGGCAGTTACATTTCGTATATTATATGATACAGAAATTACTGGAAAAGACTTCTATTTGAGTTTCAATCCTGTGATGTCGCATCAAATTTTCGGCGAAAACGAAAGCATATTTGGTTACCGTTCACTAACCATCACTCTGAATTACTTACACAATTCCGCGAAGTGTTACGTTAATATAAAAAATTCGGGACAGATAAAAAGCGACGTTCACAAACCTGACGATATTATGGAATCTCTCAATCCGTGGTTACCCGAAAATTACGTTACTAAAGAAGAAGACTTTTTAATGTTGCATAAGACAGAAAAACACGATTTAATACATGGGAAAATTCTGCACGAATTCAAAGATAAGCAAAAATGTCAGCTATTTCCCGATGATGAAATATTCAGTACATACAAAGTAACGCATTGCGATCTAACGGACGATAATTTCAAATCATTTCACAGTAGATTTGAAACTTTCGTTATTTGGTTCATAGACGGGGCCAATTTCATAGATCTCGACGATGAGAAATGGGAAATATTTTACGTTTACGAAGAAATAACGCATCCAAAGACTCAAAAAATATATGTAACCCCAGTAGGTTATTGCACTGTTTACAAATTCTTTGCTTATCCCGAAAGTATCCGACCTAGAATCAGCCAATTTTTCATTCTGCCGTCTCATCAAAGACTCGGCCTCGGGACAGCCTTATACGAGACCGTTTTTAAAGTGTTTCAATCAAAATCCGAAGTTGTAGACATCACTGTAGAAGAACCGACATCGAACTTCCAAATAATCAGAGACATACACGATTGTCTGATGGTCAAAAAGTCTTTTTCGGAAAATTTAATGAAAGTATTTAAATCTCCGCCTAAGAAAATATTTAATAAAATGAAAGACATGAAGTTGGGAAAGAAACAATCGCAGAGAGTGTACAATATTTTGTGTTGTTTGGAAGCAGAGTCGAGTAAAACGACGTACGATCAGCACTTAAACAACATAAAGAACAAAATTGAAAAAGATGTAAAAGAGAAAATGAACGGGATTAAAAAAGCGCGCGATGAAGCTGGATTCGAAGTGAACATGGATGTAATATCAGATATGAAAACCATGATTGAAAGTGAATTTAAAAGATACATGGAAGATTTAGAAATATCTATTAAATGCATCAAGAAGACTTTAGAGGTTTAAACTTTTGAATGGTTTTTTTAGCCGATTTGTTTTTTAAAAGTTCTTATTCGTTTTGTCACTTGAGTAGATTTAAGACTTACTTTTTTTATTGAAATCAGTGTTCTATATTCATATTATTTTGTTATTGTAAAAGTTGTCATACTACTTTTAAATAAATTAAATATATACAAAATTAATTTTATTTATTATTCCGTTTTCTGCTTACTAAGAAAATATTTTTGCTTCTATATAGAGGGTGTTGGCCAATTCGGGACCAATGATGCTTGTTTCTCAAAAGAAATTAAAAAGTTTTCAAATTAGTGTAATATATCCCCTCTAGAACAGTGATAGGTACAGTCTTATTTTGTGTTAGGCATAGCTGTGCTTTCACAGTGAACATGTGGCAACTACGATATCCCCGCTATCGTTTTGTCACTGATATTCGGATCGGCTAATATCCGACCACCATCTTAATCTAGTCGACGACTGGCTGTTGCATTGTTGCCATTTTATTAACTTATATACTAGTCGTATGCCTAGCAAGAAAAAATAAGTACTGCATATCTAATTAACTTAGTCATACTTTTTAAAATAGTCCATAAGAAAACTTAGCATTTACAACTTTATCAAAATTTTGCCGTTCGGATCTCACAGAAGGTTGGAGAAATATTTATTAAAATTTTGTCTCGTATGTACTGTTTCTTTATCTTCTATAATATATATTATTAAAATGCCTAAATTATTTCCGGAAATGTTTTAGAACTCACGAATATTTTGAAAATTATCCCAATATCATTCTCTATAATTTTTGTTCTATGCACGATTTCTCTAAAATGGACCGTAATGAAAAAATTTGAGGAAAATTTTAATTTTTTAGTACTTTCTTTGGTAATGAATATATACAAAAAAAAATGTTTCGTGTAAGGTGTGTGGAAAATTTATTTATTTAGTTCATTCTCTAAAGATTTACAGAGGTATTACAGAACAACCGGAAAAGGCATATAATAACTTTAGGTAAGACAGGAAAGTCATGTGTTGGACACATCAGATTTTTTTAGGTTATTACTATCTGAATGTCAAATATAAAATGTAAATAATAAAATCAATAATTTACTTTCCAAATTTGAAAGTAATTGGACATTGATATCACAAGTAACATTTTAGGGACAACAGCAATTTTGAATTTAAGGTGTATTTCGGATGAAACTTGCAGCACAGCATGGTATTAGCCAGGTAAACAGAACTTTTCTGAACTTATCCATCCACTCTTCCCTAATTTTATTAGTCATTATTTATTGTCTATATTTTATTTAATCATTTCAACTTATTCATATGTTTACAAAATAATTCCACATAACTCGAAAAAAATTTATCTAAAGCTACTTATTCCTGAATCTGCGTCGCTCCCAACCGTGAAGGATCTTGACTAGGATAATGAACAGGAGGCTTAGGAATTGTCACAGCTTCGCTACCGCTAGTCGCCGTACTGGTAATTGTGGGCGGACCTGCGAACTGCGGCATCTGTGGTGGATTAAAGAAAAACGGCGGAATGGGGGGCGGAGCGAACATCGGCGGCACCATTAGAGACGGCGGGGGCGGCATGCTCGGCAACGGAATATGTCCCGGTTCCAAATTGAAGAAGTTGTTGCTCAATTCGGGCAGAGCGCCTGGCAGACCTGGTACGGGTTCGTAATTGTCGACTGCATGCACGTTTGTAGAGGGGCCAGTACGGCCTTGAGAGCGGCCCCATTTTATGGTGAGTCTTCTGCCACCAAGTATCAGCTTGTTGAACGTCTTCTCAGCTGCCGTTTCTGCTGCTGCTCTGGTGGTGTATTGAACAAAAGCACATTGCTGTTTTGGTACAAGACTTACAGAACGGATTTCCCCATATTGATAGAAATGGTCTCTACAGAAGAAAAATAACCAGTATTACATTAGAAGTTGATATTAATGTTGACATTTTAAAGAATGATATAATTGAGGGGGGAGTAATTCTTGTATCCCTACCTTATATCTTGCTCAGTTAATGTACCAAGATTTCCAATATACAGTGTTGTAATTGTCTGATCATCTGGTGGAGGAAGAGCTGGCATAGCTGCTGCTCTTTTAAGTAATTTGTCAGCCACAGGATCATTCACACCATAGTAACGATCTTTTATATTCTAAAATGAAAAACAAATATAAACATATAGAGCAAGTGAGTATTCATTTATTTATCATAATCTACAGTAATGGTTAAAAAATATAAAAAGTACCTGGTCTGCCAAAGGATCGTCAGGATCAGTAGGTTTCTCATGGCGATAAGGGCATTCTTCACCTCTTCGACATTCTCCTTTTACCCAAAAGGAACAAACATGGGGTCGATTACGCTTATAGTAAGGTGCTGTACGTGCCAAACGCATCAGTAAGTCATTTGGTTCACTAAGCTTGCTACTAATTGTATCTGGATCAGATCTTGCCAGCTTTAAAAGAGAATGTAGTTACAAAACTGAAAATTTATTAGTCCTAATGGATGATCAATTAATATTCTTGCTCTATAGAAAAATGCATACTTCTCTTTCCATATTCTGAATATAATATTCCTTATTAACATCACTTTTAGGTAAATCATCTTTCATCTTGAGGGCTGCATCCCTTACTTGAATAGGCAAACCATATTCTAAATCTAATAAACATGTTTGGCAAACATTTTTTAACTTGCTACATGTCTGACATACTTCTGTTTTCTTGAAACGCATTCTAGCTCCTGGACACCAACGGAAAACTGTGAATGGACGTGAACAAATTTTACATTCCTTACCATATTTTTCTTTGGTCTAAAAAGAAGTGGTGTGATGTATTAGTAATAGGTATATAATTGTTACTAAAAAAAATAATACTGACCATTCTAATGTAAGGATTATCACCCAAACAGGTCTGACACAGAATTGGAAAATCCTAAAAAGCAAATAGGATTAGTATTCGATTGTTTACTTCTAAAATTTTATACTTACAGCATCTTCCCAATTTTGTCTATTGTATGTATTAGTTGTTTTAGATGTGGCCATTTCTTATGAAAAGGTAATTAATTGAATTTCCAATATTAAAAGTATATTACTTTACTACAAAAGAGAATTGAATTAATTAAAATAAATCTAAAACCTAACCAAAAACAAATGATTTTTGACTTTGACAAGTGATGAACAAGTGTTCAGTGTTGCCAATAGGTGACATAAAAGTCTCAACTTTACAAGTTGAAAATCGCCAGATAAAAAGAAATTTTTTAAAAATCTGGCCACTTTTTTTGAAAATCTGGCGACTTTTGCGCGTGACTACGAACAAATCACTTTGTAAAAAAAAAGGAAATTTTACTATTTTTTTAAATCATAATAAAGTTAGGTGCAAAATATAGGGGAACTTGTTTAAGAAATATAACATGCATATTTATTTAATACACATGCATATTTTTTAATAAACATCTAACAAAACAAAAATACAATTCTTCTAAAAACAAAATAATTTCTATTCGATAAATAAAGTTGGTTAATATTCTTACTTTTTAACATAGATATTTATCCCAGATTAAATGTGGAATTAAATGAACATTAATCGTTTTAATGACTATCAGTTTGGTTGCTATCCTAACGATTTTCAAATTCAAATTTTACAACTCTCAATGTCAAAATTATAGACGTTCAGGGGGTTATTATTGACAGGTCTGTTATTTTATAAACATACAGAAATAGCAACCTGTTCACAAATAACGTGCCTGTTAAAAATAACATTATTTGTCCATCATAACCCCGTTACTTATATGTTCGATTTTACAACCACCTCCTTTTTCATTGCTATAGAATATGGCCTATCTACTACAACCATTATTATTATCGTCATCATCATTCCTGATATGTAAAAGTCGCCAGATAATGGTGAGAAAACGCTAGGTTTGAGACATGTCTCAAATTCAAATTCGCAACAGATAGGTTTTCTGAAATCGCTGCTAGATCTAGCTTCAAAATCGCTAAATTGACAACCCTGTAAGTGTTGCCTTTTGCCATACGAAAAATAATTAGGCAATCCAAAAAGACCTGTCAAAATCGCTACTTGTGGGCAAGGATCAATGATCCCTGTTTTTTTTTTTTTTTTATTTAATGTATGCGTTAATTTTATTTTTATGTTAAAATCGTAAAATTTAACACCCGTTAAAAATAAACGTATTGAATTACCACTAAAGCCTACTACTAATTAATAATAATAGTAATAATAAAAAATGTCTTTTTTAACCAGTAAAAGTTCACAAAAAAAAAATACTTGTGGCACTCGGGGACTTCCGCGGTAAAGCTATTGCATTGCATTTTTTATCAACTTATGCAATTATAATTATTCATTTTATTTATGCAGTATTTTTTTCTTCGATATTAATTCAAGTTACTTTTTGAGCGTGGTGACCGATAAGAAAACAATTTTTTTTCTTTTATTGAATGAATGAGAAGTTTAATATTGTTTAAAATATTTTTATTATCTTACAATACATGTAGGTTATTCAGGAATGTTATCATTGAAACTATAGGTTTAAGGTAATTGAAATAAGAAACATAAGTTTGAGACTTGATATCCTCTAAATATCTGAAAAATACCGCGTCAATATGGTGGTCCCATATTTTGTTGTGGATTCTTGTGGATCATAATTCATTTTCAAATTCAATTTTTCCGAAATTATGTCTAAAAAGAGATAGAATCAGTTAGCATATTAACTTGGTTAAAAGGCGCAAGTTCAGCAAAGCTGTTCTTCCACAAGAACCCTGTAAAAAAATATAAGGAAAAAATATAGGTATAATGAAAAAATATAGTATTAGGGTGTGTCATTTTTGAGCAACTTTTTTTTCAACTAAAGAACGGGCTGAAAACTTTCAGAAAGGTCAAAAAAGAGGCCTCTAAAAATTTGAGCTCTTAATATTAACATTAAGTGGTGCCTATTCCTAACTTTCCTTTTTCCATTTAAATAACATGGAAAAAAAAGTTTTTTCTTATTTTTGCAGCTTGACATTTTAGCATTGTAAAAATGAACTGAAAAATTATATTGGTAGGAAATTAAACGCTCTACAAAAAAGTTCTAATTTATTTTTTCATAGAGTAAGCCGTTCTGAAGATATTCAAACTTAAAGTTGCAAATGTATGAAATTATGACTTTTATTTATTAAACTGATGCTGATGACTTTTTCATGTCTTAAAAATTATTTTCAAGAAAAAATTATTATTGTATAGAAAGAAAATAACACATCTCAATTATTATTTTTTTTTTATTTTATTTAATTTACTATCAAAAAAGTTATTTGTGTTCAATTATAAATTAAATAAAACAATTAATTTGTTATTTTGTTGAATATTTAATTTTTCTTTATTTTTTATATTACCTGATTTATATTATTTTTCATTTTTACAATGCCCAAATATCAAGCTACAAAAATGAGAAAAAAGAAAAAAAATTCCATGTTATTTAAATGGGAAGTTAGGAACAGGCACCACTAAATGTTATTACTTCGTCCTTTAATTTCAGCTTTCTCCTTTTTATTTTGCTAATAGTACCATCAGTAGAAATAGTCTCATAATATTTGATATCTTCTAAAAAGTATAGAACAGCATAATCTCTAGAAAGTGCTTTATCGACACTAGGAACGATATATATGCTGTCACTGTTCTAAGCGTTTAGTATCCTATAAAAAACATTTACAATAACAAAACTGGTGTTCAACAAAAAAATAACACTAGCAACTCTTTATCTACCTTTAAAACTCTATAAAAAATAATTTTCTTTTCTAGTAAGTTAAATTGAATGTATAATTATTGTTTGTAACTCAGGATCTATGACTATACAATTGTTGCGTTTGAGAATCCACATCGGATGCATCTGAGATGTAAAAAATCTTTGATCACGTGGTTCAGTATACGTAAATGTAATGGGACAGATGTGTCCGATGTGGATAAAAAAACGCTCGAGATGTAAAAAATGCATCCGATGTGGATTCTCAAACGCAGCAATATTAGGTCTTTTCCTTTGCATCGACAGTGTAGCACTGAGCTACGTTACTTCTGAAAATGTCGTTCCATCCATACAATTTGTATAAATGGAACGATATTTTCAGAAGTGGTGTAGCTCAGTGCTACACTTTCGATGCAAAGGAAAAGACCTATTGTAACTAGTTTACAATAAATATTATATTTGGGACCGATTCCACCGTTGTCTTAAACGAAGTTTAAAATGACATTTTTAGATTAACAATATCATTTTAATCTCCGTTTAACACAACGGTGGAATCGGTCCTTAGACATACATTATTTTACTTAGGTCCGATTCCACCGTTGTGTTAAACGGAGATTAAAATGACATTGTTAATGTAAAAATGTCACTTTAAACTTCGTTTAACACAACGACGGTATCGATCCTTACACAAGTAGCTTTAAAAAGACATTGAATTGATTTCTTCTTTTTATCTTTAGTTTTACATTATTTGATTTGTATCCTGTTTTACAATCTGGAGCGACGTAAATCTTCCTTTGATGTTTTTGGTCACTCATATTACTTGTACTTTTCACATTATTGACATTGACACCGCCGTTATTCGACATGCCAACTAGTCAATTTCGCGAACTTCATAAAAAGGACGAAAATTTGACCATTGCCGATTCGCTTCCTCTCTAGTCTTCATATTACCACTATTTGTCAAAATTAGAAAAAGCATATTGTCAGACATAAGATGAATGCTCATTTCCTACTATGATTTACAAGCATTCGTCTGGTAGGAAATGAATACTTTCTGAATCCTTTATTTTAATTTTTATAAAATTTGTCAATTTATTCCTATGATTAGTGTTAAAATAAAAATACAAAAACTTTTTTTAATAATTTTATTAATTATATATAAATGTTTTACAAATATTTTGTTTCGAACTATTAGGTAAAAACATACAATACTTAAAATGAGAAATAGTGTATCAAAGGGGTGAGGACCTAATCACATTGCTAATAGATATAAGAAGTCATCCAGTTGCCAGTCAATTCACTCAATACATTATATCCATGAAACGTTTTTTTAATGGTCATTAATATTGAAGAGTGTATTCATTATTAACACAAATATCTATATAATATGAGCACTAACTGAGGCATGAATGAGGCTTAAGTGGTCAAATTTAATGGTTCTTCAGTCTGTGAAGTGAATCAACAAGCAAATGCAATCCTCTTACCAATATTGGTTAACTTTTTACGTAATACATATTCACAATTGTTTGTTAAATAGAAAAAATTACACTAATAGTACTAAGACATTAAAACATGTCTACGCATATTTCTGCCAAATCTGCAATCTACCGCGGGCGCTAGTTTACTTTTAAAATATGATCACACATAAGCCAATACATCTTTTCAATTTTAACAATAATAAATCTAAATTTTATCTGTACAAATTTTTCAAATTGATATTGAGAACATCATTGCTACATTATTTTGTTAGACAAAAATAAATACAACTTTGCCTGCGAAAATTAAAAACTGTAAGTTTACTTCAAATTGAAACCAGCAGAGGACGATGATAGGTGAACTAAAAAGACATAAAATGGAAAAAAAGAAATCTATGAAATAGCTTGCAAGAATAAGATTTTTGGAAGAGTAGAGACTATAGATAGAAGACATACTACTATACTAAATGTTAATACACAAAATAAATAGCAAATTACCCAGTATTAACAAAACAATTAGTATATATGATGGATAAACAAAACCTTAATGGGTTTAAGCTGATTTAAGTCTGCTGGCTAAATGTTTTTGGTAGAAAGTCATAGTTTCTTTACACTTTTAACAATACTTCTTGTTTTCCTATTTTTCATGTTCTATTTGCCAATTTTTGTGCTGCTTAGAGCTTTTCCTTCAGAATTGTAAGAATAAGTATGTCACTGTTTGACTTCCAACACTCCAAACATGTCGCTCTAACTATGATGTTTTAGTTGTATTATAATCTTTTTCTTTACTATTATTGTTTTCTTCGTCCTTTTTAGTCATACTCTTTGTTTTCGTCTTTAATTTGAATTTGCTGACTACCATTCACCGCTAGGCAAAAATGGTGTAAACACTGTAAACTATGATGCATTTTGAAAGTAATATGTACAAAGTTTAATCACTATAACCAACTAGGTCTTATGAAGAATAAATGCTTCTAATTACAATGTATATAAATTTGGTCAAGTAGAATAACATACATAAAATCGTTCAAAACTAATGTTTATTCTTAATATCAACCTGAATTGTAGCACCCGTTTCTAACATTTTCACAACAAATATTTTTACTAACAAATTTCAATACATTTTTTCTCACACTAAAAGTTATTTTTTAATTTGCTTGATAAATTCTATCCTAATAGTATTTTGAAAATTTGGCACGATAATAGATAAAAAAAACGAACAATCAGTTTATTTTGTTATTCAGAAGATACAAATAAAAAATATATCTTTAATTTTACTGTTAAAGTATAAAACTATGAAAAATCAGTCATGATTTTTTTGCTAGTTTTTGTTTTATATGTACTGTAAAACACCGGTTAACCAAACTCGGGATAACGGAAATCCTGGTTATCCGAACTGCATCAGAAATCGCAAATCCAAAAGGACGTACAGTACTTCACGAAAAATCGTAAGTGCTACAGAAAGCTGGTCTATGAAGAACATAAGAATAGCTAGAGTTTTAAATTCGCTTAACCTTCAAAACATATCAGAATTGTGCATATGTATGTACTTTAATTAGATACATAGGTCTGTTCCAACAACGTTCAGAAATCAGTCATTGACGCAGGGATTGTGAGCAGTATATTATTGGAACCGCCAAATAACCACAACTAACGTCAAACAAAACTAAAATTCAGAGCAATAACCACTGATTAACAGGGTAAGAAGCCAAATTAACATATTGTATCCATACAATAAGGAGATATTACATAAATACCAACAGTAAACACTGTACATTAAGTGTTTCGAGACGAGACGTTGTCCAGGGCATCCCTTCTCAGACAATGACTTGTACACTGTCTCTAGATAAATGAAAAGAATTTAATAAAGATTTTAAAAATGAAATGATACTGTGCAATGATTTGTTTCTGATCGTTGTTCAAACAGACCTAATATTTAGTTGTATGTATAGTCATAGTTTAAGCCAAAAAAAAATCGTTATTTCAAAATGGCTCCACTCCCTCCCGCCATTCATTTCGGTTAATCAGGGTTCTACGTGGTTCTACTGTATGTATATTTATATCAAAAAGAAAAAAATACAGCCAAATTTCAAACATTACTTATATCAAATTTGCAATAAAGACTACCACCTAAATGATGTAACGGATATGGGCAAAGTTTAGTGCAAACTTTATAAAAAAGGTTAGTTATAAAAATATATATTTTTTTCTATTTGGTGGCAATCTCTGTATGGGTGGTTACTTTTTATTGTCCAATGTTTGGTAAAAATACTAATACCTCCATTTTGAACAATTTGTTAATAAAACTACCATGTGGACCTATAACACAGAATTAATGAACGTAATGTCAATATTTTCCGTAAATAACAAATTAAAACCGCAAAATGACTTAGAAACACACGTCTGCAATTCTGCACGAGAGTATCATTTTTAAACATATTTCATAAAACTTACAAAAAACAGGAAAATAGTCTATTAACCCTCTACCAACCAACTATCAAATATTACTGGCACGTTTGGTTGGATCCTTTCAAAAATGTACAATACATAATCTGTAAATATTCCTTAAAAATCGAAGTCAGTAATAATTCAAAAAATATCAGTTATTTCACTTTGACTGTCATTTACAATAAATAATAAGCTATAAATATTGAGTGCAAAAAATACATTCCTCAATTAAATACACTTTAAGTCCCTTAACACATTTAAATTAGAGAAATATGAGCATATAAACATAAAATTATCAACTTAGTCTCTGTTACATCACTTAGTAAAACTAATACAATTATTCTTAAAGTTTCGACGCAGTCGCTATTTATCAATTTTTTCATGAAAACATGTTCCAAATATGAATGAAATATCAAACTGATTCGTTAAATTTTGAGAATCTCAAAAAGTTATATTTACTTCTGTAAATTCCGTTTCCAGAGATAAAAAATAGCGTAGGAAGTAGTGTTAATGATCCGATTAAATTATAACATATTTATTAATTTATATTACAGCAAAGCATGTAAACGTTTTTGAAAAAGAAAAACGAAGGTGCTTTTTTTAATTCATTGACAAAATATCCAGAGAATGGTAACAGTTTCAATTTTGTCGTTTTTAAAGGATATTTTCTTGAATTGTCTCTAACAAAATACTGAAACAGTCGACTACGTGAAAATTAGCAATAATTATTAACTATTTATCGCACCCACCTCACCCCACACTCCATTTGTTCCTGTTCCACTCATCCGGCCACTCATACTTATAATAACACAGAACCTAAATCACTATATATTGTGTCACACAGACTCTTAAGTCAGTTTCAATAATGAAGTACAATAATTATCCATTATAGTGATAAAATATGTTAAAAATTACAAACAAAATTATATAGAAGTCTGAAAAGGTCGCATTTATTTTAATTGTATAATTGACACCTACTAACATAAATAGATACAATTAATTAACCTATTTTTCTTTACTTGAGAGTTATTTAATAATCATGTCTAGGGTTTAAATTTTTATAGGTCACGAGACAATATTTGGCCTTCTGCTGCACATTGTAAAATATTAATATTGTTTTCAGAGCTAGTTAAAACTATTTATTTTAATCAATAATTAAAGTTTTTATTGATTTTTTTTATTCCAGAAAATTTTAAATGTTTATGCTTTAAGATATGACAATGTTGCCACTGTAATTAAAGAATGTCCTGCGAAGAATCACTTAGGAAGGCGTTATTTCTAGGACCATGACTGACTTACTACTCATTGTAGCGATTATAACTATTTACTAGTAATGCGAAGTCGCTCTAATTTAAAAAGTATTTTATAACAGCCAATTGATCATCTAACTTTTTTATTATTTGTTGTAGTAATAATTATCAATTTACCAGTTTTGATATAAAAAAATATTCTTTCATTTTACAGCTCACCAAAACCCTGTAGTAAAATTCAAAATTATCCAAATGTGAGAGGAACAATTAATAATTATTCATTTATTTAGATCAAAAATATTATTTGTATAATGAAATTGTTTGATTTTTAAATTTGATTCATAATTTTATCACTTATAATGTATTCATACAAGAGCGTTTTGTTTTTATTGTTACTATTTTTATTATTATCATCATCGGTCTCAAGTAGATGACAACAAACCGTTCATAATTTTTTAACTCTGCTCTTTTTAGCCTCGCGGCACAAAGTCTGACACACGTTGAGCCAAGTCTGCTCATAATCACTTGTAGACACGCCCGACGACGAAGATGGACTGTGCGAGACGCATTCGCAGACCAACTTGGCCAGTCAATCGACCAAAATGCCCTGTGACACGTTAACCAGTGTCTCTTTTAGCACTTTAAAGGAGGGTCGATTTTCAGGTAGGTGCGCCCAGCATTTTCGCATCACCTGCAACAAGAATTCCATTACAAAATATATTAAACTTGAATCTAAACATGGAAAATGACCAGTACATAAAACCACTTTAAGAATACTTACATCATATACTTCTTTGTAACAAGCTTTTGGTTTTTCCAAGATCATCCCTTTCTGGACTCTTTCAACGACTTCAGAGTTTTTTAATCTACCATATGGCATTTTCCCACAAGTAAATACTTCCCACATCAATACCCCTGAAAAGTATATTCACAATTATATGGTATGTTTTTTATTTGAAGATCCATCACATTTCGAGAAAACTTATGTCTTTAGTTTGATATGTGTCAATTTTGTCTAGTTATTAAATATTTAAGCATAATTTTTTTTGCCAATAATTTAAATGAATAATAAAATTATATTACTTTAAAAAGTTGTTTAAATTCAAGGGACACTTCTTCGAAAAAGAATGTATAATTATGCCCGGAGACATAAAAAACTTGTGCAGATTATAACCATAATACAACTTGTAACTGATACAAGTTCAAGAGTGGTCTGAACTATTCTCAAATCTCTCTCCCTAATTGAATGGATGGATTTTCTGAATGAAATACTTGAAGCAAAGCTGAAAAACTACTTGACTAATCCATTCATTCATAATTAAGTCCTTTTTTATCATAATAATTCCAATTGTATTTGTAATGTAATTAGGCAGACAGAGCTGTAGCATCGGCTGGTGCATTAGAAAGAAGGGAGCAGCTGCTAATTTGATTATGTATGGTTTTTGCGAGTACTTTTATTTGTGAAGTAAGAATGCGCTTTATAAATAAATCAGTACTTATGTCTACTACACTTGCTTTACACTGCTTTCGCACATCAAAATTAATTGTATACTTTCCTAAAAAACACTATACAACTATAAGTTTCGATGAGAAAAAATTACATTAAACTGATAACTGGCAGTAAGAATGCAAATATTACTTCCTAATGTAATTTTCAATGCCATTTGTGCACTTTAGAGCCTTATGTTTAGTCAATACCAAATTATAACCATAAACAATCCATGCAACAATCTTCCATGCATTTCAATTTTTGTGAACAAAATTAGTCTAATAGTTGTTGGTTATTGACTTAACAAATTAAACCCCTTATACAGTTGCCACATATCAAAGTAAAATCAAAACAATAAAGTTTAAGTACCTGACTTTCTCAATTGTAACTACCTCATAATTATTTTCAAGAGGCAAACATTTTCCAGTATTCCTCTTGTCATATATTTTTTACATTTTTAATTATTTATATCCCTACCTTTTCATGGGAGAATTTCCCATTAGGTGTATAAATTTAAAATGGAACTTACCATATGCCCATATATCAGATTTCGACGAAAATCTTGTATAATTTAATACCTCAGGAGGTGCCCATTTGATGGGAAATTTAGACCCGCCCGACGAAGTGTACTGATCATCCAAAACATATCTGGCTAATCCAAAATCAGCTACTTTTACTATATTTTCAGTTCCGACTAAGCAATTCCTGGCGGCCAAGTCTCTATGGATATAGTTGTGCCTCTCTAGGTATGCCATTCCTTTGCACACCTAAAATATATACTGATATAGAAAAAGCAACCAACATCCATATCGATACATCATTGGCGCCCAACGTGGATAAGTGTTTTAAATAACAATTGTTTTTTAAATAACAGGAGTTGTTTTTAGGGCGTTCCCTACACACTGCTACGCAAACTTAAAATGTTGGGTTTATTAACGTGTTTTTCTTACTTACTTGTATACACATGTCAAGTAAAAGTCCTTGATTGCTACTTAACGATTGCTCATGCCTTCTTAGATGGTTAAAGAGGGAACCATACTTCATGTATTCCGTAACTATGAAAATAGGTCTATTCTTACTGCATACGCCATACAATTGAACCAAATTGGTGTGTTGCAATTTTCTAAAAGGATAAATAATAAATGAGCATAGTAGGTATTTAGCACAGTACTGTCCCTAATATCAAAAGTATTAATCAGTATTTAATAATTTTTCATTATTTTATTCAAATAAACCCTTTAAAAATTACATCATATTATGCATTTTGTAGCATTCAAAAATTCCGTGCATGTAATTTGAATTATTTTGTAGGGCTTAATTAATTAAACCCAGCGAATATTAATTTGTCATTGTTTAGTGTTTTAACTATTCCAGACAGCATTTTTTAAATTCAAAACTTAAATGACAAAAAAAAAACTTTCATATACTTACGTCATGACTTTAGCTTCATCAATGAAGTCATCTTCGGACATCGTTCCTTCTTTCATCATTTTCACTGCCACATCTATGGAGCCCCTCCATTTCCCTCTTCTCACCACGCCGAATTGTCCAGATCCTAACTCATCTAATAGCATCAACTCATTATGATCAATTTCCCATTTATCTGCAAAAATAAATGTTAAAAAAAAATGGTAAACTATAAAAGTATAAACAAAGTACCGTGACTAAGACCAGCAGTAGCAGGGGCAGGCCTATCGCAGGGACTGGTCTTTAACCTTGATGCAAGACCACCGCTGTTGTGCTTGTGATAGTTGATTAGGTCTGGTATCGAACTGCAACAATGTTTTTCTGATAGATAATATTCCCCTGTCCTCTCGTTTTGCTTTATGTGGTAATGTTTCACGTGTGGGTGAGGTCTGAAAATAAAAATTATTGTATTCTCAATTTCTGAAAAAAATATTTGTTTAAGCTTACATTTTGGTATATAGAGACAATGTGTACAGTCCTTTCGTTGACGAATTTCTAACCACAAAACAGCCTTCTTTATCTTCATTTTTAAGAAGAGATTCAGATCTTTGCCTTGACATATCATTTACATACCACCTCAAAAAAAAAAAAAACAATTAAAATATTTCTTTAAAATATTCTATGAACATTAATAAAATGTGTAATATCAGTAAAAATTAATATCATTATTTCAGTCAAAAACCTATTCTATTCTATAACATCATGTGGGTGTCAGAGCTATAGCTACAAAAATGTATGTTATCATTGATTGAAAATAATACTTACTCATACTGCTGCAAGCCCAAAGACTCCTTTTCCTTCACATAGTTGCTTGGAATATAACCAATATTTCTAAAAAATGTAAAAAACATCAGAAATAAATTTTTTCATAGTTTTGTTCAAATTAACTATTTAAAAGTACATATGTAAAAAAAAGTCTTATTACTTTACTTATCAAAATAAAACTTGTTTTAGAAGAAACAAAAATTATTAGATATATTACCAAGGATATAGCCAAAAATAAGCAATGCCCCTTTAATACTATTTAATTAACTTGACAATTTTACATCTCCATACCCTGCATAAGACCTTCCCACAGTTAACTACCTTTAAACAAAGACTCCTATTTCAATTGACTTTTGGACACTGTATTTCCGATCTTCCTTATTTCTCATCTATCTCTGTATCATCCTCTTCTAAAATTTTGAGCCATTTAAAGATCCTTTGAGTTAAATAATTAACATTATGACATTTTGAAATAAAAAATTGCATTCTACTAAAGTCTAAATTTAGGAGCTGTGTGCATAAAAGCTTTCTTAAATGCATACCTGAATTGCCTCCAGTCTTTTAACTTTTTTTTTCTAGCATTAAACCAGGGTTTAGCTGCTCCAATTCAATTTTGTAAGATATTAGTTATGAAGCACTTCATGAGTCAGGATTTGACAATAATGCATGTGCACCTTTCTCTAATAAACTAACCTGGTATGTTAAAATGTGTTACCTCTTTGGCTCCAAATTTCCATCTAAAGCATTTAAGCAGTTCTGTTCTGAACATTGTCTGATAGTATAAAATTATGTTACATCAGGCTGATGCTTTTGTTCTTCCATATTATGTTGTAGCTGACAAAATTCCCAGAAGCTTTCCTCCCTTCTTTCAAATGTAGACATTGTGCTTATTTCAAATTTTAAAATATCACATATAAATAGTTTGTCTATGATTATTTGGTAATCGCAGGTAATCTAACTTTTGAGGTTGTAAGAACTTTCTTCTAAATTAGATTTTTATGGGTACAAATAACTATAGATCTTTTACAAAGTATTGTTTTTTAAAATTAACAAAAAGTGTAACCTCGTGTTCCGATAATTATGGTCACTCGATAATTCAATTAAATATTGTTTCACAATTGTAATATTGAATGTAGTAATTGGAATAGTAGAAATTAAAATGATGGATGGTTATTATAAAACTGGATATTTAGTGAAAACTGAAAACGCGACTTGTTTCTACCGCTACCGTTTTAAAAAGAAATACAGAATACAGATCTTCCATGGAACAAGGACCACACAAGAACATAACCTGTAAAATGACAATGTCATCTGTCGTTTAAAGAATACTTCAATCTTCACCATTATTCACATGGCCTTTTACAAGTGTGGCTGACAACGTAGCCTTCAAAATTATTATGGTAAAGTTTTTCTGATAAAAGTTTTGTCAATCTTTGTTTATTATAGTTATTTGATTAACTAGTCAAATAAGTAACAGTTTTTGCCTCGTCTAGTATTTAAACTAGCTAAGTGTGTTTAAGTAAGCTTAATGAAAGAAATTATTTGTCTTCTTGGCTTCAAATTCAAATGTAAATAATATCTTGATAAAAGAAAAGTAAGGGACCGACTTGATGATAATTACTAATCTGATTTAAAATTCACAGGTGTCTTACCCTTTTGAATCTCTAACTTTCCACCAATGTTCCTGAGAATCGTCAATAACATCGTAAGATTGGTTTTTCTCTAAGGATAAATCACCACTTTCTATTGCTTTATAGTTGTACAACGCCACAACGACCTTGGTTCTTGGAATAATTTTTTCTTTTGGCTTGGACGAGGGTGTGCCTGGAGCTCCGTCACTCGGCATCATCTGACCTGAATTTGTTCCTGGAAATGAAAAAAAAAAACTGAGAACTTACATAAACATATTTACTAAAACACATTAACATTTGTTTAATGTCACACTCTACATCTTGAAAAATATGCTTACTTGTGTACTTTAAGGAATAGGAATTTATAAAGTTTGGACATAATAATTTTCTTAACATTTTATGTAATTATAAATAAATCTTGTTTTAATTCAACCTACATGAAATAAACATGTCTAATAGTGTAATATACAATTTTGATTGTCAAACGCCTCTTCAATGTATTGTTGATAAGAGGAATATTGATAAACTAAGCAAGGTGATAAAAATGATGTACCAGATCAGGACAATTCAACAATTCTATTTTAATTTTATGGTCAATAAATTAAAGCTGATCTTAACTCCAAGAAATAATCAGATAGGTTTTTTATTTTAATATTAAATAAAATTGCTCTAGGGGATAAACAATAATATACAAATAATAATTACATTAATACACTTACAATAATTATATTTAGCAAAATAGAAATATATTGCTAGTATCATTATTTACCATGAAAGGAGGATAAACAATATTTCATTTGAAAAAATATTGAATATAACTTCAAAGTTAACCCAAAGAAATATATAAATTTGTCAATAAAGAGCTTGTAATTTATTCATTTACTTAAGACCAATTGCTCAATTTAATTTACCAATGTACCTACTTCTAATGGTGTTTTTATCTATAAATAGTTTAAAATAGTAATTCAAATCAAGTGGTACTTAAATAATAAAAAAAACCTAAAAAATATTATTTTTAAATCGGCCTTGAATGAACACATGTACTTGAAAATGATTTTCAATGTCTTAGCATAAAAATTGTAATAAAATTAATATCTTATCACTACCATAATATAACAAGTATAATTTTAAATTGAAAGTTGATAAATTAGTTGTTAAAAAAATTCTTAATATGAAGAAATATTTTTAATTTCAGAAAGGTAGGTCAATAAAATATTAATAATAAAAATAAAAGACCAAAGACATTTATTATTTTCAAAAATAAATTATCTGGAGGACTGATTTTTTAATGATTCTATTGATACACTTCTACCAAAAAGCAAGAACCTGTTGCCATATGTGTGTTGTGTGCAACCCTTATGGGCGAACAAATGTGCAAAACATCTTGAGACAAGCATTATTCTAACTCACAGACTATTTGGAAAACTTTCGATTGTTCCTAATATAAAATACAATAATTGTTGTAAATATTTGGAACTTAAATTGGCAAACCACGATAACATAGTTGTGCTTGATTTGTTCAATGAAACTAAAATTATTATTTCAAGCAGAATTTTTAAATATTATGTACATTTTTTGTTTATTTTTAATTTTAAAAAGTCTGCCAAAAAACATTTCACACATAGGCAGCTAAACTGCTAGGCGGATTCCTGCCAAAAAGTATTTCCAATAATTCGCAAAAATTAGAAAGTCATACCAAAAAAAAATGCCCTTATAATTTAAAATCATGAAATAAATTGTAATAAACAATATTTTTTTAGAGATAAATACAATAACAAAATATAAGACTGTGATAAATTGTCTGTATAAACTGATTTGTGGTAAGTACATCTCTTATCATTATCAAGTTCCGCTTTTTAATATATCAAATGAAAATGAATGTCATTAGTATTTATTATACAAATTTACTATTAATATTTATCGATTTACAATGGAATATAAAACCTAATTTTCAGATTAGATAGCATGTACTGAATAGTTATCAAAAAAATGTCCCCTGGAGTTTAAAATATTGATATTTTGTTTACACTAAACAAACTTAAATTATAGAAACTTACCAGAAGATTTACGTTGAAACTTAGGAAACAGGGGAGTTTTTTTCATGTAGCATGAATATAACATATCGTAATTTAAAGATAGATAACTAAAGTTTTATTACTAGCAGAATATAAAAATTGTTATTCGATTTCCCCATGGGACAATATTAAAGTAACCATATTTAATAGGTATATACGAAATTCACATTCTATATCTGTTTCCACTAAAAATTATAATCGGATTTTATTTAGTAAATATTTTATTAATGTAAATTGTAAAGCACTCCAAACTAAAAAAAATCGTGATATGATAATCGTGATAACTACGTCACCGTCACCTGAAATATTTATCTTTTATCTGTCAGCTGTCAAAGTAATATTTTTATACCTTTTTTTCGTCATAAATCAAAGTACCTACCGATTTTGAAAATAAATAAAAAGAAAAATGTCTTTAATAATCGTAAGCTCGAGTCAAAATCCTACTGGAACCTGATTCCGTCTTTAAATAGAAATTAGATGTTTACTGTTTACAAATGTTTAGATTATCTTTAGATTTATTCCTTACAAATAACAATCGAACAAAGCACTCCGAACCAGGAGGACGGAGGAAGAACAAGAACAAAATGGCCATAGTCGACTCGTGTTGATTGGTGTTTTATTTTTAAGCAATAAACATTTTTCTTAAATTTTTTTGAAAAATCTCTAAAAATAATCTAGTTAGGTATATGATATTCTCAAGGGTAATAAGTTGTATGATTATCACCGACAATTTTTGAAAATGTCACGAGAGAGGGTTGAAATTTAAAAAAAAAATATATCGGAAGAAGGGCAAACTTGTAGTTTAGGCGGCTACTAAAACATATGTCTACACTTACACTAATGTGTTATGTCAGACTTTTCATTTCAATTTGAGCTGTGTCCAGGCCGTTGGAGTCTATATGTCGGTTTTCGTAGTCAGATATGGGTTGATATTTTCTGGTGGCTTCGTCTTCTTTGTCTATTAGAACAAGTGAGAGCAGCAATAAGTACAGACATACATTTTAGTACTTACTCGCCCAAACTCATTATCTCATTTATTGTATTTCCGTTTATTTGTTGTTACTAATTATGTACTATGTATTTCTATGCAAATAAACATTATTATTATTATTATTATTATTAAAGTACAAATCTACCGGAAAGAAGATTGTTTCGCAGTCACGGTAATCCATGTACCACAGTGATAATCAGAGATAACCAGGATTATCTCTGGTCATAATACAACAAACAAAATGCAATCAACACGAAACACACCTGGTCGAAAATACCGTCGCGCGATAGGAATTTATTGTAATGCGAGCCATTTCGTTATTCAGTCATGCTCTAATTCTCCAAGTCCCTCTCTGTCCTATTTGACCTTTGAGGCTCAACTTGTCCGATTATCACACCTAATTAAACCCCTAAAGAACAAACATATGTGACGACTATGGCGAAGGCGCTTTCCAGAACGAACGGGATGTTATTACTAGTTTTGGCGAGAACATTCTGGACCTTCACCAGAATTTTAAATGTGTATATAAATATTGGTGAAGGAACACGGAGCAGTCAGTCGTATACAAACAGTTGTGAAGATAAATAGTGAACAATTTAAAGACTTCGAAATATATATAAATTAGAATAGTATTGTTTTAAAATAAATAAGTTTTCAAATAAAATATTAACAAATAAACTGTTGTTTAAAATAAACAAATGCAACATTGGTGTTAGAAGTGGAACAGTAAATAAATAGTAGACAAAAATGGCTACAAAACTGGCTGATTTAAAAGTGACAGAGTTACGTCGGGAATTAGAAGATCGCGAGCTGGAGACAACAGGGAAGAAAGCAGAGCTGACTGAGAGGCTTAAAGAAGAACTAGAAAGTAAAGGTTTGGATCCGGAAACGTATCTATTTTCTGATGATGCGTCTTCTATAATTTTTTCTTTGGAAAGTAAAATGTCTTCCATGAAAACCGATATTTCTTCTGACATTTCTTCCTTAGAAGAAAATGTGTATTCTGATGTTGCTTCCGTGAAAAACGAAATATCTTTATAAACTAAAGTTTCTTCTGATATCTCTTCTTTAAAAGATGAAATTTCTTCTGACTTGGAAAACAAAATGTCTCCTGTCTTCTGTAGAGGAGAAAATAAAACAGATGGAAAAGAAGATAGAAGAACTGGAACATACAGAACAGACCAAGGACGTTGAAATAAAGTGCCAGGAGGTGGAGTCAAAGTTAAAATTGGAAGGAACTGTAAACTCTGCTCATGTTAAGGCCCCAACTTTCGACGGGAAGATGTCATGGACAAACTACCTTAAACAATGCGAGACAGCTGCGAGAGCAAACTAATAGCCTGAGAGAGAAAAGGCAGTGAATCTGACAATCGCCCTTCGAGAAGACGCCTTGGATATCCTGCAAACTATACCTGTGAAAGAGACCGATGACTTTGAACAACTGAAAAAGAAACTCAACATGCGATATGGCCACGAACACTTGGAGCATTTATACCATTCACAGTTAAAGAATCGCAAACAGAAACGATACGAGACTCTTCAAGAATATGATGTAGATATTGCCAGGTTGATGCGATTTGCCTACCCATCAGCTTCGGAAAACATGATGGAATGTTTGGCAGTCCAAACATTAGTTGATGGACTCCGTGACCCCGAGATGCAGAAAACACTTCGCTTAGCCAACCACAAAACATTGGTCGATGTCTTGTCCGCTGCTTTAGAGTACGAGGCAGCTACGCAGGCTTCTGGAGGATACAGTAAAGTGAGGACTGTAAAAGAAGAAAACGTAGAAGATAAACTTAACCAACTAGTTAACATAATGAAGAGCTTTACTGATAAAAAGATAAGGACAAAGACCATCAGGTGCTGGAATTGCGGTGCACTGGGACATGTACGCAGTTCGTGCAAACACCCTAAAGTTTGGATATTGGCAGGTGGAAATGGACCCAGTAGACAAAGGAAAGGCAGCTTTTACCACCGGATCTGGATTGTAGCAATTCTATGTCATGCCATTTGGACTATGTAATGCCCCGCGACATTTGAAAGACTTATGGAAAATGTATTGAGAGGGTTATCATGGAAAACATGCCTGAAATATTTAGATGACATTATAGTCTTCGGGGAAGACATTTGATGAACATCTAAAGAACTTGGAAAATGATTTTAAAAGACTTCAAGCTGTCCAACTGATGCTAAACCCCAAGAAATACCAGCTATTCCAAAATTAAGTCAATTACCCGGGTCATATAGTCAATAAGGATGGCGTGGCTGTAGATAAGCAAAAACTCGCTTCCATCAAAGAGTAGTTACAACCAACTGATAAATATCAAATACGTAGTTTACTTGAGCTATGTACGTACTATCGAAGATTTATTAGGATGTTTGCAGATATTGCTAAACCATTAACACGACTCACAGAAGAAGCGAGGGAATTCTGCTGGGACGAGGTCTGGCAAACTGCCTTTGAAACAATAAAGAAGCATTTAACAACAGCGCCAATACTAGGCTATCCACTACCAGAGGGAGAATTTATTCTGGATACTGATGCCAGTAATGTGGGAATTGGAGGAGTGCTTTCACAGATTCAGGAAGGGAAAGAAAGAGTACTAGGTTATTTTAGTAAAGTGCTCTCTAAACCTGAACGAAATTACTGCGTCACAAGAAGAAAACTCCTGGCAATTGTAAAGTGTGGAACACTTCTACCAATACCTGTACGGAAGAAAATTTTTAATCCGGACCGATCATGCAGCCCTTAAGTGGCTGATGCAATTTAAGAACCCGTATACAAACAGTTGTCAAGATAAATAGTGAACAATTTAAAGACTTCGAAATATATATAAATTAGTGTTCACATAAATTTATTAATAAACTGTTGTTTAAAATTAACAAACGCAACATTATCAAACTAGAGAATTAGTTTATACAAAATGTTCTTGGTTGAAACTAGATACCTACAAGATGTATGACAAAAACCAAACAATTATAGGTACTTTGTTACTAAGGCTCAATTCCACCGCTAGTAGTTAAGAAATAGACAAGGTTTTTAAAATGAAATTTTTCCATTGGCAGTGGAAATGGCTCTTAAAAAATTGATAAGGGTGGTTCTCGGAGAGTACAATGTACATTCATTTTGTTTATATTTTCTTTCAGGTTACCACCATATGGTTTTATGGTTTAAAAGATGTGTTTGAAAGTGATAATTTACCTATTATATGGATTATTACAATGCTTGTCATATCTACGATCACACATTGCATTAGTGGTGTAATAAAGTATAAAATTTACAGTTTTCGTATTTTTAGCAATAAGCAAAATATCTATTAATTTCAAGAGAGTGACAATGTCAAATTGATAAAAAATAACTGATATTAAGAAATTTCAATGATTTTGCGGTGTTGCCCTACAATAACAAACGGTGTTTAAAGGGGTCAAGGAAAATTGATCGCCCGCAATTGACCGACAGCAATTTACCGCCTAAGCAATTTATAGCCTACAATTGACCGCCAGCCAGCGTTGCCAGATGACCAAAACCGAATTATTGTACAATGCTGTAGAAATTATCGTTTTTTTCATGAAATTATCGTACAAAACTAGGATGATCATATTTTACCATATTTCTTTTCGTGCTCTTTGAATTTCTATCAAAAAAGCTCTACCTGTAGCTTTAGCCAACCAGCCGTTAAAATCTGCCATACATTCCCATGTTTTACGATATTTCTGTGCTCTATGATGTTTTGCAACTATTTTATCACTTAATTTAAGTATTTTACTTATCGAACGTTCCTCATTTTCACTGCTGGAGGAAGAGGAAAACATTTTAATAAAAATATTACTAAAAACTAAGTACCTAACTAATATCCAAGGTCATATAATATAAATATATGAAAAGCGTCGAATCTCGAATCGTTGAAATGACGGGAGCTCGGATCGACTTGAAATAATACGGTTTAGCAGTCGCCGTCGTCCGTTAATTCCATTTTTTTTTGGGGAGGGCAACGAATTCAATATATTTTTTCAATTTATCAAAATTCAGAAATTATCGTACATCGTACATGTATTGATCGTACATCGTACCCTGCCTGTAATTATCGTACAAATACGATAATTATCGTACGTCTGGCAACGCTGCCGCCAGCACATTTATCGCCATAATATACATATAATCATTTATATACATTTATTAGTCATTTTAAATGTTTTTTTTGAAGGTGTTATTTAAAAATTAAGTAGTTATATTTAAAAATGGAAGTTACTTATATGCTAAGTGTCTTGACTGGGTCTAAATTAAATGAAATTCATTTGGAGTGAGGGTAG